TTTTTCATTACAATTCTCTATGCAGTTAACAACAAACTCCAGAGAGCCACGTGGTAATTTATGAGTAAACAATAACTCTTCTGGAGAGCCCAGGTTTGGTTTGACACAAGAGGAACTTGAATCAGGCCAGTCCTGGGAATAAACTGGATATTTTCTGTGACATATGCCCTCTTCGCCTCACCGCCACCTGTCTCACATGTGCTGTACACTCTGAGTCTGGCTTCTAGTCAAGCTTTGTTTCATGAGAAGTATCACTACAGTAACTTTCAGAGAATAGACATGTCACTTCATGTTTCCAAGGTGATTTGAAGAGTCCTCATTTCTCAAGTAACTACAATATTATATAAAAGAAAATAACAAACAGAAATATGGTGAAGAAAAGGACCAAGGAACTACCAGTTCTTGGTCTGTAACTATCATTCAAGTTGATGATAGTTTTCTCAAAATTAGTCCAAGAGAGATCATTATATTTCTATACATGCTTGGAGGTGTTCTTTGGCAGGTAAAATAAAGATGGCCTTTTCTTTAATATCCCTTTAGAATGGGGGTTGAAAAACCTCCTTGCTTCCTGAATCTCTTTGCATGAATTTCTAAGCGAATGTGCTATTTAGGTAGGAGACTATCTAGTGATGACTAAAAGATGTGACTCTAGGGTCAGGTTACTGGACTCAGCTCGAGCATTCACTACTTGTAACTGTGGGCATGACGCTTAAGGCCCCTGAGGGTCAAGTTCCACATTTGTAAAATGGGAATAGGAACAGTGTCCTCTTCCTAGGATTGCCATCTGTGATAATACATATAAGAGCTTAGATATTAATAATAATATGACCTTAAAGATAGGGCCATCAGTCAATTATTTATGCAACAAATGATATGGAAAAGAAAGAACCGTCAATCATTTATGCATCATTTACTATGTACTTGGCACTGAGTGTGCTCCAAATGAAAATAAGCAAAAAGATCTCTGGTTCCAATGAAATTTACAGACACACACACACACACACACACACACACACACACACACGTGGAAAGGATTTTGAGGCAGTGAAAGATGAGACACATTTCTGTAAGGAAAGCACCGTAAATGGAACAGAGATGGACAGACCTAAGCCTATAATGACTCTAGCAAGCTCAGTATAATTAGAGTAGGGTTCATGTGGTCCATCTAAAGTTGATTTGGGTCAGATTGTAAATGTAAGAAAGTTTAACTTTATTGAGTAGGGGAGCTCCTGAAGACCCTTGAGCAAAGGCATTACATGATCAAAGTGGCTTTTCAGTAATATAAACCTGGATATGTGCATGATGTACTAAATTGGTGAGATTGACAACTGCAATACGACTTCATAGATATTACCAGAATATGTAACGTCTCGCGGAGATCAGTTCACCTGGGGTATTCAGAATGGACCACACCCCTGAACTCCAGGCTCCTACGTTACCTGCCTACTTGTCATCACCATTGGGGGCCTCCCCACTGGTATAAAACCTACTTCCTGACCTTCCCCCCAGAACACATCTTGCCTGTCAGTCCATGAAAACATTCGCGCTCTAGACTGAAGACCTCGGGGCCACCCTCGGCTGCCCTTTTTCTCTCTCAGTCTATACCCAATCTGATTGAACATTTCCTAGGCTCTTTGGAAACATATCTGACAGGAGAGCAGCACATAGCTCAGAGCCCAGAGACTTCCCAGGTTAATGAGAGAGTAGCAAGGTGAAATCAATGGGCCTTTTTGTAACTGTTTCAAAATGGGAACTTTAATGTTTGCTTCCTGATTTTATTCGCATGAAAATTCTTAAGAGAGCACCCCAGTAGTGACTGACACCAGTCTCTGTGTCAAATCCTAGTTCCATCGTTTGTTCGTTAGGTGACCTTCGGCACGGCACTTAAGCATCTCTGCACTGACCCGGCCACCATCACCTCTTACCTGGGTGACTGCAATACTCGAACGGCCTCCTTGCTTCCACTTTTGCCCCTCCCCCATCTAGGATCAATACAGGAGCCACTGTGAGTCTATGAAATGTGTCATCTCGTGTCACTCCTCTGCTCCTAGCCTCTCGGTGGCTTCCCGCCCCGCTCAGAGTGAAAGCAGAACGCCTGACAGGGCCCAGAAGGCCCTGTCCACTCCAGCGCACGCCTCCCCACCCCTTCCTCAGCGTTGCCCACTCCCGGCTGCTCGATGTCCTGGCCACGCTGCTGTGCCCTGAGCCTGTGCTGCACACTCCCTGTGATCTCTGCCTATAATGACATGTCCCCCAGATGCCCTCACTTTCAGTAGGTGATGGCTTAAATGGCATCTCTTTATCGAGACCTTATGTGGCCTCCTTTTTAACAGTGTTCTCCATCCCGGCACTTTCCCCCACCTCTCCTGCTCTATTTCCCATAGCATCATATATACACCATCTATTTTTCTTCCTTGTTCATTCCCACCATTAGAATGTGACAGCAATTTTTGTCTGATGTGTTCATTCCGTGTTTCTTGAACCTAACACAGTGCCAATGATTTTAGTGTCTGTGCAAGTACACACAGTGCTCAGGCACACACATAGCCCCGCCCCACCCCAAACTACATCTGTAATGTTGCTGAGTCAGATACCCTCTCAAGAGGTTATAAAAGATCTAAAGATCAGAAACGTTCACTTCCTGGCCTCTGAACTAGTAAATCACCTCTCTTTCATAGTCTAAACCTGGGCCTAGACTAGGAGAGTCAGGCGAGAGACGTATCCCACATTTCCTAGCCTCCTGGGGGACAAGTGCTTGTCCCACCTGGTTGGAACCCTGAGCCATCCTCCAGTGCAACATAGAGCTGTTTCCTGCAATCTCCTTCCTCCCACCACTACCCGCTTTTGGTGTGCCATGCATGTCATACGTTCCCGGGCACACTGGCTTCTGCTGACTACTCTACAATCTTTAGGAAACTGAAAACATTAAGAACCTTCCATGTTGAAAGACGTCTCAGCCCTGCACAAAGCAGTGAACAGTCTACCCCAGCTTGAGAGTCAGTTTCCCTTTGCAGGCTCCCCTGGTTCTCCAGAGCACTCACTTCCTCCTCTGTGATCCCAGGGTGCTTTCTGAAGCAATAACTCCAGCATTTACTGTAAAACCGTCATCAAGGTTACACACCTTTGTCTCCCGAGAGGCCAGAAGC